CAAGCAGTGAAGCCCTGCTCCCCCAACCCCAAAGGGAGAAGGGATTCCAGGAAGAGAAGGAAGGCTCTTGTTTCCAAATTTGAATCCAGGAAAGGTGCTGTTTTTTATTTTTTATTCTTTATTTAAAAAGAAAGCAAATGATACTCGTGTGGAAGGAGAGTGAGAGACAGAGAAAGAAGGTCACGATCATCAAGGTTTAACGTGGTGAGGGGGTTAGTTTCTCTCTCTTTCTGACACCCTACCCCCACCCGGTTTTATAAAAAGCAGCTTAAGGAAACCAACGAACCAGGGTTTCCTTGTGTTTCAACTCACCATCTTAAGTTCTTTGGCCAAGTGTTAAGTTACTCACTTAGGGGCCATAAGTGGTGTGTACCTTTCCATAGTCTCCCGGGAGGGCCAGGCAACATCAGTTACTTCCTGTGTGAGAGTGCCCCTTTTGCCACTCTGGTGGGGTTCTTCGACCAAACTTCCTGTGTCTCACTTTCTCTAGTTATAAAATAAGGCTATTGTTAACTACGTTCATGTGGAAGGATTGTTTCACTGACTGAAATTTACACAGCCTGCTACCTGTGACTACCAAATACAGTTAGCAAGTGTTGAATAAGTGGAGGTTATTGTTACTTTTGCCCACCCAACCTAACTCAGCCTTCAATAAAACCCAAAAGCGGCTGTGAAAGTAACTCAGTTAATAGAGAGCTTAGCATGCAGAAAAACCTTGGTTCTAGTTTGGCATGAACCAGCCCCGTGTTGATAATCCCAATACTTAGGAAGTTCAGGTAGGAGCATGACGCTTTTGAGAAGGCCATCCTGGGCTATTTGGTGCTTTTGAAGCTAACTTGGGTTACATGAGACCCCATTCTTAAAAAACACAAAAGAGAGAAGAAAAACAAGCAACAACAAAATTGTGCAGAGAGAAAAAACATTCCAATGCTAACACAAGAGACACTGTCCTCTAATACCTAATCTGTATCCCTTTAACAAAACAAACTTGATTATTTTATGTGTATGGGTGCTTTGCCTATTATGTAAGTGTACTGTCTCTGTGCACTGCCCATGGAGTCTAAAAGAAGGCATCAAATCCTCTGAAACTGTGGTTACAGACAATTGTGGGCCTCCATTTGATTGCTAGGAACCAAACTAAGGTCCTCTCTGCAGCAACAGAAGCCTGTGCTCTTAACCACTAGCCGCTTTTCCAGCTCCTAATTTGTACCCTCCCTGCTGCAGTAGGACATTTTTTCCTAGAGCAGAAAATTTTCAACCTTGATGGACAGCAGAATCCACCTGTGGGATTCTGGAAAAAAAGCTTGTATGGAGCAACTGAATCATGGCAGAAGGCAACCAAGGACCCTTGTCCTATGCCTGGAGCATTCCTTAGACTGCAAACAACACACACACACACACACACACACACACACACACACACACACACACACCAGTGCCAGAACAAAGTAGTTGCCCCATGAGTCTAATGTACAAGTCCAGCTGAGGTACCTGCATGTCTGTATCTTTTGTGTGTCCAGCACCAGTTATTTTTGGAATATTCCTCAGCCAGCAGTTTCTTCTGAGGAGCTGCCACTGCTTTAGAGATTGTGGGGGGAAGATAACTCCAACCTTAAATGTAAGTGTAAATCTAAGTGTATTACACAAGCCTGGCCATCCATGTTGGATCCTCTAATCTAGAAGCATTCTGTTTCCTGTGGTGGCTGAATTGGGATGGGCTCATGACCCAAACTAGGCCAATGAAGATAGCTTCTGGGACTTTCTCTTAGACTCCTGAGGAAGAATTCTTCTTCTCTGGCAGATACAAAGCCTGGAATGTGAGCCTGGAGTCTGCTTTACTCTGAGGAGGAGATCCTGCTTCAGAATGAAGCCAGTAGAAGGAAAGCAGAGAAAAGAGTTTTTGGATTCTCTCTTGGCTCTTCAGTTTCACAAGTCAGTGCCTTCCCTTCTCATTATAAAACCAAGCATCCTCAGTTCTTTTTCTGTTACTGTAACACAAGAGATTCTAATTGGCACACCCTTCTCAACTGCAGCTCCAAGCTTCTCTGAGAAGCTGTGTGGGTAAAGCCTATGGTGTATCTTCACCTCCTCACCCCCCCTCTAAGGAGTGGCACAGGAGGCAGAAGCAAGCCTGGATTCACTGAGCCATTGAATGATGACGAGGGTCTTGTAACTTGGTGACTCTAGCACTTGGGAGACAGAGGTAGGAGGACTGCCCCAATTTCAAGTCACTAGCCTGGGCTACATAAGACTCTTGTCTCAAACCTGGCACACACCTTTAATCCCAGCACTCAGGAGGCAGAGGCAGGTGGATCTCAGTTAAAAGATTCCAGGGGCCAGCCTGGTGATTTCCAGGAAAGCCAGAGTTGTTAAACAGAGAAACCCTGTCTGGAAAACCAAAACAACAACAACAACAAAAGACTGTCTCAAACCAAAATTTAAAAATGGGAAGGAGATTCCAGGAGTTAGGTTGACAGAGAACAGATGTTGGAGGAGA